TTTTTTTTCTATTTTCAAACTTTTGTTTCTTCTATTTGTTCGTTCTTGCATTTTTCATTTTCTTCTTTTTCTCCCATTAATACCTCGTCAAATTTCTCATCGATATGAATATCTCATCTTCCGCGTCTCCCATGGTTTCTCCAAGAAAAGAGCCCTTTCTTAGTCAAACCACAAGAAGAAAACCCTTAATAACAATCATTTTCATTATTTGTGAAACGCATCATTAAACCTGAGTCTTTCCGGTTCCCAGTACAAATAAAAACGTTCCCAAAATTAAATATATGTTTTCATCATAAATGTACTTGTGCGTCATTGATTATTTTCCACTTTCCTTCTGGAAAATCCCCTCTTTGAACGTATTAAAATTGARAGAAAAATTCAACAAAAATTTCTTCGAAAAATATAGTTTTTATTTTGAGCAAGTTTCCCCCTGCTAATTTAAAGGTTTTAGCGTGCTTAAGTCGTATGATGATGGTAAAGAAGTGAACAATTGGATATCATTCGTTTAGAAAGAAGCTAAAATGCTTTAAAGCGATTCTTTGTCCACACTGTAGTTTAAGTCGTCTTAAGATTTTTCGAGTTTCATTCCTTTTGTTGTAAGATCTATTGCTTTCTTGTCGACAGGTATATTTATAATTTCAAATGATTATCAAATTTACGTCTTTATGAAGCACATATCTTAAAAAGAATTCTTTGTATTTTATATTTTAATTCAAAACCTCAATAAATACTCCCTTTGTCAAAAAGATGGTTACTTTATAGTTTTTTTTTTTCGGGACTGTTAGACTTACCTTCTTTTTTAGCAATAATTTTCTGCACTCCTTCCACAAGACAGACTGCCCAACAACMTTCTGGAGATCTCGCGGCCTCAAGATAAATAAATCATCTAATTATTCACAACCCTTTTGGGCGCTACTTCCGCTGTAAGACTTGATTAGGAACTCATTCAAATCGTTCTTAGCTTTATTTTGGTGGTTTTAAGAAGTATTCTAAATTGCATAATTCTAATTATTCAGTTGGATATTTGAAGAAAAACACTCGATCAAAAAAAATATTTCGTGTGTGTGTTCATCACTTCGCTTCACTTCTGCTCCATCCCTCGCAAGATAAATAAAAAACATAGTTGTCGTCCTACTCTTGAACTKTCTATTTAAATATACCTTCGCGGTGTTTGCTGTATTTCTCCCAAATTAAATGATGCCTTGTGGCAGTACCCTTCCTCAAAGGCAGTCACTCCGATTAARTTCCTCTCCGCTATTGTTTTAATAACTGTCAACAAATTGGATCCGTACAAAATTCGATTCTTTATCGAGCCGTAATTTTATTTTTCATCTTCCTTTTGCATAATTTTGAAGACATTTTTAAAAATCAGATAAGGTTAATGACTTAAAAGTTTGAATGTCTTGATTTAAGCGAGCAGTACTCGAGGTAGATAGGATCTCCTCAAAGATGAAACGGAATAGATCATTGCGTCATTTCATGTCACTTATTTCCACCAATGAAAACAGTTATATCTAACGCAGGTGTTTTCGACTCTAAGC